TTTTCTTTGTTAAAAGTAAAAATGAGTGTGATTTATCTTTTTATATTTTATTTACTATTATTATTTTTAAAAAATTAATAATTTTAATAATAAAAAATATTAAAAGAAAAATATACTTAATTGCTTTTAAATATGTTTTTATTAATTATTTAATGTTAGACAACTGCTAACTATTACTTTATATAACTAAACAGTTATATCAATCATAATTCATTATTTACTATTTACTATCTTTTTTCTGCAATTTGTTACTCATTACACACTACCTTTATTTGCTACTTACTATTGGTTATATCTTAGATTTTAACCATTATACCAAATAAACTCTAAATCAAGTAAAGAAATATAACGTGGAAATCAATGAGTAAGTAGAGAAACCCATTCCATTTAAAGAGGTTTCAATTCATCACGCCTATGTCTTCTCTCAAGATTTTTTAAAAAAAATTATTTTATTTTATTTTGATTAAGAGTTGTATTTGTTACTTTCAAACTCAATTTGGTTTAGGGTTGACCAATACAATCTTCCCTTTAAGAACACTTAACCAACTTGAAGAACTATACCCCAAGTTTAAGTCCATCCAGGACTAAATCCCAAGTCCAAAATGCTTAGGGATTCTTTTCACATTTTTAGATAAAAAGATAAAATTAATTTCTCATTATTTAAAATTTTTTGAAGCAACGTATTAGATAATGACTGTTCAATTTTGTATATATGAAAAAAACTAGATAAATATAATAGTATAATACTGCTCTTTTATTCGCATTACTTTTATTTTAGTCGCACCTCAACTCTGCGACTTTTAACATGATAACATCCTTTTTTTATGTCTATAACCAAAATCATGAACTTTAATCGGCGGAGGAATTGTATGTCGTGCAGGTTGCATTACCAAACTTAGAGGAGTTGCAAGTATCTTGGATTAATGTTAACATCATATGGCATGCTTCGATGGCATCTTCTTATATTAAGAAACTGACGAAGTTGATCATTGAGAACTGTGATAATTTAGAATATCTATTCACATCTGCTATGGCTAGAGATCTGGTAATGCTTGAACACCTTGAAATAAGGGAATGCGAGAAGATGGGAAAGGTTCTTTTTACAGAGAATGTAGAAGAAGATGGGAATTTGATTTTTCCTCAATTGAGGATTCTAGAGATACGAAGCCTTCCAAAACTCGGAAGATTCTGCCATGGCAATTGCATCAAATTCCCCTGCCTTTCGCGACTTTTGATCACGAGCTGCCCTGTATTAAAGACTTTCATCTCATCAAGCTCTAGTTTTGACACTGGTACACCTCCTCTATTTGATGCGAAGGTAATTTCTTCTTTCTGGTTTTTCTTTATTTTTCACTTATTAATGTCTTGTAATACTACTTCATGGATGGCCTCATAAAGTTTTACACTCTTTTGAAAATTAGATTCCAAAAAATTTTCATTCCATTATCTCTCTAATTCTGTTTAGTTTTTTAATGCAATTTGGTAAATTTTTAGGTGATATTCCCTAGGCTAGAGCAACTAATAATTGGAGTTATGGAAAGCATGGACAAGATATGGGACAACCAACTTGATGCAAGTTCTTTTTGCCAACTAAATTATCTTGGTGTGAATTCATGTAACGAGCTACTAAATATTTTCCCATTTAGTATGCTGGAAAGGCTTCAGAGACTAGATAAGTTAGAGATATGGAGCTGTGCTTCACTTGAAGAGATATTTGAGTCTCAAGGGCTTGTTGCTGGCCAATCACAAACTCAAAAATTCACGCCACCAACTTTGATGGAATCTGTTGTAAAGTTTGTGTTTCCAAAATTGACGCAGCTAGATCTTTATTTTCTGCCCAAACTGAAGGCCTTATGTCATCAAATGCATAATATTGAATGGCCATCATTGAAAACATTGACAGTGTATAGATGTGAACAAGTACAGATATTTGCTTCAGAACTCTCAAGCTTCCCAAGAACAAATGGAGATGACCAACTCGAAGTTTCTCTTTTCTGGACAAGCAAGGTAAGAGCTCTAAACAATAATTCAATAAATGTTTGCTCATGTGTACGATGCATTTGCATTAAAGTAAAGCTTTTCTCCTGTCTGAACATATTCATAAGCATAATCAATAATACTCTGCTTTTTCTCTTTATAGGCTGCTTAAGAAAACCAAACTATTTTTTTTTTTTTTAATTTATAGAGATAATATTTTCCATAAATAAAAATTATTTATATCCCATAACCATATTTGCATCCTTCTTCTTTTATTCTTTTTTTAATACCTTTTATTTCCATATTTCAGGCTACATTCCCAAGTCTAGAAGAAATGAGACTGCATTGGAATGGTAATATGAAAGAGATATGGCATGGGCAGCATATTCCAGGGGATTATTTTCCCAAATTAAAAGTTCTTGGACTCAGCAACTTCCATAAGCAATTAGTTGTCCAGCCTTTTCTGTTTCAAGCTCCGAATCTTGAAAAGCTTGTTGTGAGTCAAGCTTCCTTTCATGATATATTCAAATGCCAAGGACTTGGTTGTGTGGAAAAACCTGCACTCGCATTTACTCAATTAAGTGGATTAAGGTTGTCTGACCTTCACGAGTTAACATGTCTCTGGAAGGAAGAATCAAATTTGGAATTAGTTTTCTCTAACCTGAAAATTCTTGAAGTGCTACAGTGTAGCAAATTAAAGAATTTAGTGCCATCCTTGATATCTTTCAGGAATTTGACAACTTTGGAAGTATGTGCTTGTAATGAACTCATGAATTTAATTGAATACTCAACAGCCAAAGGCATGGTGCAACTCACAAGAATGAGTATTAGTGAATGTCGTATGTTAAAAGAAATTATGGCGTGTGTGGATGATGAAGTGAAGGATGGAATTGTCTTTAGCCAACTCAAGTATTTGCAACTTTGTGATCTACCAAAATTGGCAAGCTTTTGCTTGGGAAGTTGCAACTTTGAATTTGTATCTTTGGAAGAAGTGATTGTGACTTGCCCAAATATGCAGATCTTCTCTCACGGGGAATGCAGCACTCCTAAAAACTTGCAAAAGGTGAAATTGACAAAAGATGGAGATGAAGAGTTTTGGGAAGGCAACCTTAATAGCACCATACAAAAGATGTTCATAGAAAAGGTATGCATTAATTCAAAATATTTTCTTTTGTTTTCTGCCTAAATTTCCAAGTTTTATGTACTACTCTTAGCCCTTTGTTTGTTTAATTTGTTTGGTAAAATGTAAATTTTTACCAATAACAATAAGAAGTATATGAAGTGGCACCAATAATAAAGGCTGATATGAGATTGGGTATTTTTGGCAAAAGAATGACCTGAATGAAAACAAACCATCAACACTTATGCACCGTGGCAT